TACTCTATGTACGCAAATCCTCTTGGTTCCCTGGTATAATAATCTCTTGGTATATAGACTAAATTAAAAGTTAAATAAAAAAGTTACAAACTAATTGATATTAAATTGATCGATATTTTTAGAATAATTTACCATCCTTAAGTCTTAAATTCTTTAAAAGCAGTTTCGAGATCTTCGATACTAAAGTTGTAAAAAATATTTATTAGCAGAACTTAGAAATTAAGAAAATACACTTTAATAGAACTCACGGTGATAGTCCAGAAACGAACAACAAACGAGACATCCTGTCAGCATAGGAAGACGACATCTTTGATAGTCTGTTTGTTCTTGTAAAAGGTATCGATAATTATTAAACTTTAAAAAAATTACTGTGATCTAATAATTATATCATCAATATAATTGTTACACGACTATTTATACCTTTTTTTCATAGTTTTTTTTCACACGACACTTAATTTCCTTGATGACAAAGTCAAAAAGCAATAGATCCGGCACTAATAACACTCATGTTTTCTTTATACCTTCCACCACGGCTAATAATACCATGCCTAAAAAAGAGCCAGATGTTATAATATTCAATGATAGTTGTCTGAATATAAGTAAAATAAATACCTTTACACATTATTCCTTATTTATATCAATCGCCTATAATAAATATCATGTCCATCTTTGTTCTATAGCTTCATTTTCATATTTATCTAATCAGTAAGTTCTAGGATTGCTCTTGGTGGTTTAATAATACCAGTTGTAATAGTAATTATTCAAGGAAAAAAATTACCATTCCTGTCAAAAACTTTTCATATAAAAAGTAAATTAGTATCGGTATATACAGAAATAAATTGATGTCTATTTCTCTAAATAATACTCACAGATATGACTACATATAGTGCATCTAATTACAAATGAAATAATAATCATAAAACATTCCTTTAAATATAATGTCAAAGAGCAACAAATGGAATTTAACTTCTAATACTAACCTACATGTCCGATAAATACTAAGTTTGATAATACTATTTCCATATAATTCTTCAATAATACAGGCTATTCTCTTTCGAATAATTGGATTTAAAATTTTGTATTCAGTATCGGTATATAATAAATTAAGTAATTTTTTAATTTTTTATATCATCATTAACGTTAACATTAAAAAAACTTACTATGCCTTACCAAAACTCTTAAATTTAAACTCACTACAATATATATAGTCTGCAAAGTGTTTTTACTTTTCAGTAACGGGTACATTTCATTCTTACCATAAAATAGCGACGAAAAATTTTGAACTTTTTGAAGGAATATCGTTTTAAGGTTTAATTGCTACAAAATTTATTATACTATTTATTTTAAAAAACAACTTAAAGGTATATTATTTCTTAATAGTGTAGGCATGGTTAATTTGTTACATTCTTGTAAAAAATGAAACGAAGTTACACTTTTTTTGCTTTTTTTTGTTTTTTATATTGGTCGATCATGTCGATCTCTTATTAAAAAAAATAAATCTCAATTTTTAGAGACAAATCTTGTGTTCGTTAAAGTAAATTGATATATTTGTTTATTTGCCCAAAAAGGGGTATAAAACTTATGTTTTGATAAATACAATTGGGCGATTATACAAACTGTATTTTACCTTGTGTATAAAACGCCCAAAATGCCCAATAGTCAGCACTGGATTAATACTTCTTTTTGTCTGGTAGATTATATATAGAACGAAACACTCACATCGTAAGAAGTTTGCAGTTTGTGGTTTATCCTCTATTCCTTCTAGAATACATCGCTCATAAATGTTAATAGATAGCTCTTTTTTGACAAGAGATTTTTTGAGACCCTTCGCCTTTTGTACATTCTTGTGATCATCTTCAGTTTCCAATGCATAAGACTTGATCAGTTTTTAGCATATCTTAATGCTCGGGTTCCTGCAAATTCATCTTTCTACTTTCTGATTACTTTCTTATTTTTTAGCTCACGTGAACCATCAGGAAGAATTATCCATTGGTCAGGTGAAAGTTTTTCTAATAGTGAATGCTCTTCAGGATAATCACCAAAATCATAAAGGTCTGCATTCTCAATCATGTTTGCATAGACATCCTCAGTCTCTATTTTAATAATTAGTGAATCCGTATTGGTATAACATAATTTAGCACGATCCCCATACTTGCACTTGATATGGTTATACCAGAAATCATACATATAATACTTACTAAGATCTAAAATTGAAGCCCTAACATAGATTGGCTTATTTAATACAACATTCGTCTGCTTTCGATGTATTGCTATAAGATTACTTTCATGAAATATCTTACGACTAACTAGTGCCAGATCTGCCAACATTCTGCGAAGTCAATGTTCCTTTCCTATTGATCATACTAAATCTACCCGTGTGCAACGTCAGACGTCCTCCATAGTCTTTCTGAATACTGCATTATTCATTAATTTCTATAGATCTTTTTTGAATGCATTTTTTGTGTCATGATGTCATATCGTATTGGCTGTAATGTATAGCTCCAGCCAGAGAGACTGATTGAACTCTAATATTCGATAAATATGCTCGAGCTCCATTCCTAGTTCGAGACATTGCTGGAGATTTCAGTAGTGGATAATATATCGGTCTTTAGTCTCTAATATTGCTACCAATTTTTCTGTCTCAGCGAATTTTCCACCACTCAGTTTATCAATTAGGTCATTATTTTAGTATAGACTAAGCTCATTTCGCTTAACTATTCGACGTTCTGGGCAGAGTGGATAGTCACTATATGCTGAATGAAGATTTTCCAGAATTCTTAATTTTACTTCCTAAGCACTACCTCATTTTGCAGTTAGTGATATAGATCGTATATCCGGCAGTTTGTCTAGGCCAAGCTATCGGAATCCTCCTATTAGTAAATATTGTGACATAGCCCATCCGTATAAATTATTTGCATCTAAATATAGGAGCTATTTATTTGCTTATGTTTATTATAGCCTTTCATTCTGGGAAAATTTACTTTTGCTAAATGTCGTGAGATCATAGAATTTCCACTTCGCATCTAATGTTAGATGAATTCGTGCATATCTTCTTGTCCTTTATGGAATAATTTGAGCTTGACCTTAGTCATCTTTTTTGCTATATCAAATGCGAATGATGGTAATGTAATATAGTTCAAAGGATCTAATCCAGATACTTCCTTCATTGTCATTCAGAATCGCTAAATTGAGTCCGCTAATATTAAAACATCGGTTCTGAGATATAGATCATGATAATCTCCAAATGTTTTACACTCTGCCTTCTCCCACATTGGTCTGCGCATGATCATATTGCTTCTGATTAATGGTGTAAATCTTTTCATGCTCACAATCGTCGACCTCCTTTAAATCCGCTTCCTTACATTCTCCATTGCACTTTTTACCCTTTATTTCATGCTTACATTTTTTACAGCCATTTTTACAATAATTTAGTCCGCCTAGCACTGTGTTAAATTCTTTTCTTGATGGAAGCTCCGCCCTAGAGAAGCGCTCAGGATCATTTAATTCATATTGATACTCACTTTTTTGTGTGAGTAGTGGGAGTAAATTCTGAGGTATACTCTGTACCATTATCAGAAAATATTTAGACAATTGCTCTAAAGTCTTTTCTTGACCACGCAAATTATTTGCTACTTTTTCTAATGAGGAGAATTGGAATTGGATGGAATCTATGAATCTTATTTGACCAATTATTATTGACTTATAGTTCTCCATATTGTCCGCAATTATTTCAATTTTGTCGTCACTAACTAGCCTCAATTCCCGTATTTCATGATGAAAGTCATAATGTTTTCCGCCGTGATATATCAATGGGATCTTAATTTCATTTGGCTTCATTCGAAGTTTAAGATTACAGCCACAATATGCTGGACCACGATATTTTCCAGTGAAATGGTCATAATCTTTAACCCTATTATCATTTATATCAGCTTGAAGACTCATTTTACATAAATAGCATTTGGTTGCTTTTTTGAACGTATTTTCTCTTCTATAGACAAACCTTCTGTATGATATACAGCCTCCGATAAGTTTTCTTCTGTAGCTTTACATTTAATTTAACACAATCATGATAAGCACCGCCTATGAATTTTCTGGATGAGTTGAAATATTTCACTTTATTATATCTGGTCTCCTGTAGCTTTCCTTCACATATATAATATTTTATGGCAGACTTATGTGAACGCCAATCTCGCTCTGTCATTTTTATTTTTTTAGGGATTCGCAACTTTGGCTTGATAATTTCTTCTAAATTCCGTTGCATGCTTTCCCATGACTCTGCAATTGAGTTAAGAGTACGCCTAGCAATTTCTTTTGATAGCTTCCCATCCATTTGCATTAGAACATAACCATAACTATTAAGCTTCTGCTTCTGTAGTTTAACGGTCTTTTCATTGACAATGTTATTCTCTACCAGATCACTATCTGCTTTTAGATCTTTAACGAAATAAAATAGAACATTTTCCATAGCCTCATAGTTTTTGAATTTCATGATATGCATCCCCTTTTTAAGGAATATTTCTCTTTGGCCTGCATTAGGATTATTTTATTCATGACAATTGTGCTCTATATGCTCCTGATACAACTCTAATCTTGAGAATGGAGCTATTAAGCAGTGGCGACAGAAATATTTACGCCTATGATATTTATTCCAACTGCGCATGATCTGATTTCAGCCATTTTCACCGTTGATAAGGCAGTAATGTGTATTGAGACCTAGGGGAATTTCATTAATATTTCAGCGATCTCTAAGATCTTCCTCTCCTTCGGTAAATAATATTAAATCTACCATATGCCCTCTTTGGTAGTTATATTCTGATATGCGAAGTGGGTCTATCATTCTAGTTTTTTGCTCTTTATCATTTTTTGTTAGCGCTAGATAGAACACATTTACTGCATAATCTGGATTATTTTCTTCGAATGTGTCTATATCTCGCAATGTAGCTGGAAAATCTATACTGGTGAAATCTAATACATTATCAAAGCGCCTTAATCTACTAATATCATAAAGATTTCTTGCTCTAGTTCCCTGTCTATGGGCTTTCTCACTAGCTAAATAAGCCTTTAAACAGACTTTGAAACATCTTTCATCTGTATTTTGTGGATTGATTATTTCTAACTGAGGTTTTGCCCAAATCTTTGGTAAGGCAAAATGTGATCTACCTCAAAGTGGTTGATAAGCGCTTATTTCGAGAAATATTTTTTTCCATATTCGTAAATCCAGCCTGAATGTTAACTATGCTCCATTTCATCAATTTTATCTAAGATTTCATGGTATTGTCGTGAGACTGTTTAGTCTATTCTATCCTG